AAAAAAAAAGAATTAATTAAAATGGAGCCAAATGGAGGGCAATTTATTGGGACAGAAAAAAAAAAGCAGGCAGCAGGCAAACGGCAAGGGAGGGTGCCGAAGAAAAAACCTCATTTGACCAACCACACGGCTTCGTTACGGCGAGCAAGAGCGATTGGATCATTGTGCGGCTTGTCCGAGCACCAGCAATGCCTATCGGATGCGCTCATTGCAGAAGTGAGCTCGGTGGAAACGGTGCGCAGCTCTACTGTAGCCGGAAGAAAAAAAAGATATGTGCGGGAGGCTTCCGAAAAGTTGAGGACGATCAAGCTACGAACCGCAACAGCACGGCGGAGCGGTGATTCATCAAGACGAGGCGAGGCTAATCCGCCAGCAAGAATGCGCAAGAGAGCCAATGTGAAGGTGACAAGGTCAAGGTTGGAGCGACGAGCGCCAAAGCTGCGCCGATGGGCTGCCGACATGAAAGCGGTTTGCAGTCTTGTCATCAGCCCCATGGATCCTCGGCTTTCGGGTGTGACCCGATGTACAGTCATCGCCCAGCTCGGATCACGAGACAGCGGCTGTAAGAGGGAGATAGCGAGGAGAGGTCTTGAGCCGTGGCGTAGCTATGGCGTAGCCATGGTCAAGTCGTCGTAGCACAAGGTGGGCCGCTCAGATGGGCAGGGCTGAGTGTGTTTGTCTAGCCCTGCCAACACCGACGGTCGAGCAAGCGACGGTCACACAGAGCCGGCGTGCCCACGAGATTAGCTCAACTACGTCCGCTGCGATGCGAAGCCTTCAACCTTACACCCCCGACAGCTTGCGAGCAGAGACCGTCTGACGGCTCGGCAAAGCCGTGCTGGCACGGAAGCCAAGCTCCAACCATACCTCACTTTGCCTGTCACAGCGGACGTCGGTTGCCGCCCGCTCGAAACAGGATGTTCGTGCAACGCATTCTGGGCTTCGATCAGCCGCCATTTGAGGCTTCGGCTCATCCGACCTCCCTATCTCTTGTTCTCGCTTGGACCCTAATTGTCCGGTCGAGGCCTTACGAAGCGGGACTCGCGAGTAGCGGTGGTCCCCGCTGCGGTGTTCCGGCATGCGCCTGCCTTCTTTAGCCGAGGGCGCAAAATCCTCTTCCGTGCTGGGACGACTTCATGCGTCGCATTTCTTCTTTGCGTGGAAACCCGTGGCGCGGACTCGAACGTACCGCAGCTACTTGGCGCCATTGTATGCCCGAGAGACACCACGATGTGCCCTCGTGGGCTGAACCAGCAGCGGGCCAGTCCTGCCCTAGACAGAGTGCAAAGAGCGATCCGAAGTGCGAACACCGAAGTCGTAACCACCGCGTCGGTTCGTCGATCTTCACACTTTTTTTTTTT